AATTATGGTGTCCACTTTTTGCTTCTTTCTCAATGTCGGGAGTAAATATTCCCTCTCTCTATGGCTATTTTGGGCTACGCAATTGATTACTTGTTTAATAGTTTTCCATATTAAATTGGTATTACTGGGAAGGTGGGTATTTTGATAATTTGAGCTCCAATTCATATGTGAATAGTTCTAATTGTATGCCTCTTTTTCGCTATAAGTACCCTAGTTAAGAGGTGGTGCTGGTTTTGATTTCGAGGTGAAGTGGTGCTCGTATCGATTTCGATTTCTTATTTTAGTTCCATTTAGCAGTGAATAAGAGGGTAGCCGAGGTGATGGAGGTTGTGGAATTGATGGGGGCAACGGATTTGGGCAGAGATGGGCAGTCGGGTTGGGTAGTCGACGACTTCAGATTATGGTCGGGGTGAGGTGGGGATGCAGTCAGGGAAGAAGATGAAGATTGACTATTTTCTTTTTTCTTTTGTTTAATTTAATTGTTAATAATATAGAAAAATAATGTTAATTCTAAATATACCATTTTACACTTTCTAATTCAGTCAAAATAGGTCAAAATTCAATTTTATTGGTCAACTAACGGCCAAATGGACGGTTTCCATCCATTTGAACCCCCAGTGCATATTTTTGAAAGGTTTGGAACTGTGGGTGGCACAAACTAAATGTTTGGGTAAAGTCTACTAATAAACGAAATGTTTGGTACCTCGACTACAATTTTTCCGAAAATCAATTCCCTGAAAAATTTTGTCAATCCCACAGGCCAAAAGTGGAAGTTGGAATTCGAATTCCAAATTCCATGGAAAAATTCGTGCAATCAAATGGGGCCTAAGAGTTTTATTGTTTTATTTAAATAGGGGGTGTATTTGTCATTTGACATGAAAATTTTGATGAAAATGATGACTTTCCCAATAAAAGATGAACGTAAGGATGAAAATGTCAAAAAAAAAAAGTATGAACGTTTTGCACAATAATATTGAAAGATAGGGATGTTTTCTAATTATCCTTTGAGAAATTATTTCGATAAACTTTTATTTTTATTTTTTTATGATATTGCTTGGTTGGCCCTACTCTAGAACAAGGGCTTTTGTGAATATTCTAAAAGGTTGAACCACAATCTTGAGGGCACCTACTACTCCGTTCCTAGAGTATCGCGAGGGAGTTAAATTGCTAGATGTACCTCAACAGATTAGGGAACAAGAGCTTGCCCGTATACTGGTGCCCACAAAGAGTTTAATTTCATATATCAGGAATCGAACCCTTACACTGTGGCTACCAGGAAGGTTGTGACTACCTCACTCTTACCCTGTGCACCACTGGGTTATGCCCTGTGTGGTTTTAGTGTATCTTCTATATCTTCTTGTCCATTGTTTAGGAGTCTTATAAGATAAAATAATTCGGTCGTTAAAAATCGACCATATTTAGCCCTCGTTTGACCTCTATTACCTGAAAATGAAAATGAGAGGAATAATATTTTTTAGAAAAATGAGTGGTTGAAAAAGAAGGAAATTTTTTCGATTTATGTGTAATATTATTTTATGAAATATTGTGTGATTGAAAATAGAAGAGAAAAAATTAAAATGCAATGTAATTAAATTTAATGGGAATCAAACAAGACTTAATAAAATAATGAATGCGATCAGAATGATGGTAAACGAAGGGTGGCTTAATCATTAATGCACGTGTACGATGCAATTAGAATAAATTTAAACTTTGATTTGAATAGTCTGATTAATCATGATTAAAGTGGAATACGAAGCGTTCGTCACTTATAATTAGTTATAATTAATTATTTCCAATGATACTTAATTATTAAGCTAAGCCTGTCAAAGTCGTAATCCTGTCCGACAAATATTCTGTTTCGACTACTTTGATATATAAATGGCATAAAATATAATTACCAAAAGCGGCTTTACTCAGCCGACCCACCAACCCGATTTTGTTCTCTTTTATTGTGAAATTTCTTAGTTAGGAATTGGAATCTTGACCGATTTGATATTTTTAATTTTATTAGAACGTAGGAAAATTTGTGCTTGATTGGATTTATTCTAGAATCATATAATTTCAATTATAAGCATTTTTTAATGTATAATATTTAAACTTGATATTTTTTGAGTATAATGATGATATTTTATTAATATTTTGTTATGACATATCACCAGTTAGCAAAATAAATCAAGTGATTGTAAAAATAGAAACAAAATTAATGACATCTCGTCAAAATCATTCCACGCTTCTTTTCAACTCTCTATTTTAATTTAACTCGAACACTTAATTTTTTCTCTTCTATTCCATGTGGAGGATAGATTATAATTAAAAAAAGTGTAAAATCAGAATTTCATCTTTTGACCAATAACAAGCAAAAGGTGAAATATCACAAAGAGAAATTGTACCCGATAAAAAAAAAAAAATTGGATAATCAGTACATGTTTTGTTAAACCATATACTGACTTTTATCTCTTTTATTTTGAGATATTGACAGATAAATATTATTATTTGAAGTACAATCTCATTCGTCTCAATTTTCAACATATTTCTTGATAATGTTATTTCTAAAAATTGACACTTATTTCTTTATATACCAATTGTATTGATGTTGGTTTCTTTTAATTACGATACTTGGCACTTATTTTGTCTTGCGCTTCTATTGATAATGACCTTTGCCTAGAATAAAATGGCCACTCGATATCCATTCTTTGTGTTTCAATTAGCTAGTACCAAAAATTTATGTGACTAGGGCGATAGAGGCTTATATATTAATTGGGAATGACACTATTATCATTTGATTCATTGCTCGTAACTTTTTCGACGTGACATATGAGACTTTCTTTTTACATATAAATCCATGAAGCCATCTTTTCAAGAATTTGTTTTTGTATACATAATGATTCTCGTGGTGACTATGATGCGGACTCTTGTGACACCTATATGGCCACTCTAAATTCATATGCTACATGCTAGGCCTACTATGCACCGTTCAAGGGAATTCAAGAAATGACTAATGACAATCTATGTGACACTTGTTGGGTCGATATATCCTTCATAGATCATATTCAATAAAACAAAGGGTCCCACTCCATATATATACAAATATATTTGATATGTTATATTAGATATGATAGACGGAATACTTTTTTTTTTTTTTTTTGGTATAATATTTATTGAATTAATGTGTTAAGTCTTTTGTATTTACACACGTATTGTATAATGTAATTAAAGAAGAAATGAAGTTATAACATTATTTCAATTGTGCTTTAGTCTGATTGATAATCACACGGTTCGAGTAGAATTTAGCTGAGAAGATTAGTCTAACCCCAACCAACTCAATGACTTTGAGGTGGAGCGACCACCTTTCGCCAAAACTGAGATACGAGTCAAGTCGATAAGCCTTTTTGTCCAACCACACATATTGCTTTCGAGTTGTCATCATCAACGAAGCACCAACTTAGCTATGGTGAACCATCTTCACACTATCATTGACCTCGCCAATGAGATGATGCCATCCACAGTAGGCAGGATAGAGAAGTTAATGATTTCAACTTCACATGCTGCTTCTCGGCTATTGCCCTAAGTGCAACACAAGTACAATAACTAACAATAATTTACGAGGTTGACCATCATCCTCACAATCTACACAAAGCATGGTCCAATACCTCCCCATACATATCTCCCAATTCAAGAGATTGACCTCTGAAATTGACAATCAACCTAAGTGACGATGTGAGGTGTAAGTTCATAGACACGTATAATATTATTCAATAATTTGTACAGTACTAACACGTTAAGGCATAAATTACATGACTCAAAATGAGCATGCTTGACTTACCATCTTTACTTCTTTCTACAAAAGAAGCTAACATGTTGCTTCCCCCTAGAGTGAAAATAAATAAAATAAAATAAAAATAGGGAAGCACACCCAAATATGTTCTAATCCAATGAACTCACCAAGTTAAACATCATGTGATTACATGTAATATATGACATGGATTGGTCCATAGGATGATCACAAGGAATCACGTATTGACAACTGGAATTTACACTCGAATCACTTGACCATATGGTATACTACCTAACATCTTCTTTATAAATATATTACGACTTCCTTCCATCAATACCAGACATTACACCGACCAAACATATGCATATATACACTAAAATCCAAGGCACAAACGAATATCAGACCGTAGTACTCCCATTCTCGGACTGGCTTCGCATTAGCAAGTAGCAAGAGTGGCTTCCACCTTCCGACCAATGCAAATTCCGGTCAAATGTTTTGGACCGCACGTCTATTCGAGTCTTACATGGACATTTGAAATTACAATCACAGCTAGACTTGACAATTAATTTTAACCACACATTTTATAGAGTCCACAATTTTTCGACCACGCTTTATCAGAATCTAATAAAATTTTGATTTTAATTTACATCAAATAGTGATTTTATCAACTTTTATCAAAAGCTTTGTCTAACAACCATGTTCTATAACACAAATCATGTGTAGATTTGCATGCGTTACGTATAAATATTATAACCCGCACCCATTAAATCACATTATTTATAAATCGCACTTACAAATTCTTCCATGGACTATAAATTATTATATAATTATCAAAAAGAGGGAAGCAAAGTGGCATAATGGTTTTATATAATTGACAGCAAGACTGCACCACACATGTATCAATTACACAATCTGGACCATACAACCAAACTCGAGTGATTCTCATTGATTTTACAGATAGATACATATAGGTTATATAGCCTATATAAGCCTAGAGAGAGAGAGAGAGAGAGAGAGAGAGAGAGAGAGAGACAGAGAGAGAGAGAGAGAGAGAGAGTCTCAGACATAAATTCTTGCTTCTTATGATCACTAACATTAAAACATTGTTCAATCTCTTATAAGAGAATTAAATTCTCCTCGTACTTTCCTAGTTTGATACCAAAGGCTAGAGTTTTTTATCTTGTTCATAGATCAATCTTGTATTATTATTTTTTTGGATTCTGTTATGGGTGTAAGTACTTGGAACCAAAGTTTGCCGCAATCAGACGGGGCAGAGCAGCCAAAACCGCCGCCACCCACACGGAGGAGCCACCAACAATCAGAGCCTTTGGAGTGTCCAAGGTGTGACTCAACGAACACAAAGTTCTGTTATTACAACAATTACAATAAATCTCAGCCTCGCCATTTTTGTAAAGCTTGTAAGAGGCACTGGACTAAAGGTGGCACTCTACGTAATGTGCCTGCCGGCGGTGGCCGGAAAAACAAACGGCTTAAGACATCAAATGGAAGTTCCACCACCATAGGCGGCGGCGCAGCCACTATCAATCCTACCACCTCCTCTATTCTTCCCTTTGGTGCTTTCAACAGAAACAACGGATCTGCACCTAAGAATCAAAACCCAGGTTTTCAGTTCTCAAGTTTAAACACTTTTGACATTGATTCATCATCTTCATTAATCCCCAACTCTTTTCAATCTTTAAATGCGTATGAATTCGCCGGAAACCGCCTGGACACGGTGGAGGAATCAACAGTTACAACAGTCAATCCGAGCACAAGCAGTACTGTCATAGAATTTCCATGGGGAGGTCCAAGTACAGAGAGTGCCATGAACGTGCCAAATTACTACTGGAATAATTGGAATGATATTGATTTATTAACTTCATCTGATCTTATCAATTTATCATGGGATGATACAGATATCAAACCTTAAGAATTCGATCGAGTTCCATGGTCTCTTTCTGGTGGTTAATTACCCTCATCATGGATGCATATTTAGTAATAATTAGTATGCAGTACTAATGAATAAGATTTTAACTTTTTTTTCGATCCGCTTTGCCAAATATGTCACGAGTCACTTGTCGGGTACCATGTCCACATGTTGCTGTCAATGTGTAACTATCATAGATGAAACTTGTAAGTATATTGTTTGAAGCTGTTCTTTTATCATCAGTTTCATGGTATATTTCATGTCCATTTTGTGTTTATTTCAATTTCCCTCTTTCTATCGATTCAAGAATTCTATAAAGTTGTCCAAGTTGCCATAAATATATATTGTATTTTCTATATACAGTATCGAGTACGAAAAAGACTAGACAGTATAATAAAAATGATTTTTAACTTCTTTTTTCTTGATATTGGTCAATATTGTACGGTTGATGCTACCAAACAAACCAATTTTATCTTTTATTGGGGATAGATGGATTTTGAAAGGTATGTAAGAGAGGAATGGGACCTCGTCCAGCTGGGTAGAGAAGACTGGATATGATGAAAGATTCTTGTGGAATATGTGTGTAATTTGGGTAGATTAGATGAATAAAACATTAAGCCTCTATTTGTCTATAATTATTTTAAAAATTATTCTTTCTCGAACTTATTTTCAATTACACATTTTCACAATAAAATACTTCGCACATAATTCAAAAATTTTTCCTACTCTTTAACTATATATTCTCCAAAAATTCATTATTCCAAAACTCATTTTTATTGAATAATGTAGAGAAATAGGGGCATATATTTACATGGGTTTTGTTTGCTTCCTAAGCATTCTTGCTTGCATTAATTCATTCTTGATAGAAGCTGCTCGTATTTATTCCACGTATGGAGGTACAATTTGTAACATCACTACAATTCTTATATTCTTACACACTGCTGCTATTTAAAATTGTATCTTGGCAATAAAACGAACAGTTTCTTGCTTTAAGATTGTGTGGTTATGAAATTGTATCCAATACCCACCACCTGAGTACATATTTCAAGGGAATGATTTAAGGGATTTCAAGGTTATTTTATGAACATGTTTACCTTCGTTTCAAGTAATTTTGGACGTTGCTAAAATTTGTTGACGTTGTAAGAGGCAATTAGAATTTGTAGACACGGTAACATTTTGTGCGGTACTAACCTAAGAAGGCTCAAAGAATGTCGAGCAAATGTTTTGTAACCTACTTTCAGGGAAAAGAAAAATGATTCATTAAAAATAGGAGGTAGAATCAATAAAAATTCCTATTTGGACTCGACTCGACTTTATTCAGAAATTGTTTTTAACCCACTTTAGAAATCAATGGAAAAGGTAAGAACAAAAGAAGGGGCAAGGCCAGGTACTGAACATGCACAGTCAATCCACAAAATGACGTCTTATCCCTCACAATCTGACAAGAATTAATCTACTTGTACAATAATGATTGATAAAGTTTGTTGACAATATTTGATATGAGAACATCAAGACAATTAATTTAAAAAGTAGTTTTTGAAATAATTATTCTTGGAGTACATAACCAAATACATAGGGGTGTCCAAAATGGACATCTGGAGCCCCACTATTGGAGGGGAGGGGTGCCTATGGCGGGTACATAACTAAGTATATAAGGGTGTCCAACTACCCCAAGAGTAATCTTTTTTGAAATGGATGAATGTAATGTACCAAATCATGATTGTCAAATCTGACAATCACCTCCTTTGCAAAGAGAAGTATTTAACTTTTGACACTGCTTTGTGGCATCTAATTCTTTGATTCCAATGAGTGAAAAGAATCTTAAACCAAGAAATAGACTGAAGCAGCCAGATAATGCATAACTTGATTTAAAAATTGAACTTCTTTTCTTTCTTACAGATCTCTCCGAAAAAACTACTCTGATTGTTTAACAAGGAGGATGTTACTGCAAAATAGATATCTCCTAATAGTTCGCTTGACTTTGTTAGAGGTTGCAATATTAAATGAAAGAAGCCAAGGATAACATTATTTTGGGTACAATTAATAAATATGGGAAGGTCTGAAGAAATTCCCACCTTGAGCTTTGTGAAATTTCTGATCAACTGTAAAGACGAAAACAGAAGACGAATATAAATGCACAGGTAAAAATGGAATTTCGAAGATAAAACTAGCATTTAAACATCTGTTCTGAAATGTCAAAAATAAAATAAAATAATAATCATAATCATAATCTAGCATTGTTCAAAATCGTTACTATGAACGAACATATTAACAACTCTTGCAAATGAGATTGAATATATGCGCCACTTATCAAAGTTACAACTACTATATACAACTAATGTTGATGAACAAAATAAATTTTCGCCACACATTGCCTATATCTCTAACCTCACAAACTCCGCAGCAATATTACAGGAAACAAGCTCTGCATTTTCTATCAGCCAAAAAATATGCAAGATTGTGTGAGTAACCTGGAGGCCCGAATGTCCAATACATGCACCCAGTTGTTTCTCCCAAATTACAAGATTAGCGTCATATGAAATAATTTACCAGGATGCATAAAGAATCGCTCTCTGACTAAGATCCCGTCCTACAGAGGGTGGAGTGACCCAGATTTTAACCCTTCCATACGAGACTCCCCTCCTCGAGTGACCCAGTTTTTAACCTTTTCATACGAGCCTGAAGGCCAGATAGAGCCTTCTCGTCCATGGGAAGGATCCACCATGCATAGGGTTCTCGGTACCAACACCTTTTGTGACAGAAGGATGACCAGAAAGTCCATGGATTACATTCCTATTCACAGGTACCAATGGCCTACTTCTAGCATCTGGATTTACTGCAGCTGCTGCTAATTGGATGCTCTTCATCCTTTCTCTAATAGCATCTAATGTACCGCTTGAAACTGCAGAGGAAGTGAATCTGTCAGTTAAATATCCCCCACAGAAACACAAGCAACAAAGACAATAAATGCATGTTTGGAAGGGAGGATTGGATAGCAATGGTCACTATTAAGGAAGAAAAGGTAGTTAAAATCTTGTCCACTATACTGTTCAATTCAGTCAATACTATATACAAAACATGCACTAACATTTTCCAGGTTAACTAACCTCCAGATAGTAATCTGTCACTTCTTAGTTCCCCCAAATTCTGCTGTAAACCAGATTGATCTGACAAAGGACCTCTTACAGAGATGGTATTGGTAGGCCTATTTTCTTCGGCATAAGATGGTGGTAAACTGAAGTTTGTAGGTTCAACTTTAGTATTCAGATTTCTTGAATCATTGAACAGATTTGTATTTACAGGTGATATAGGGCCATATTTTGAAGAGAGGTTGAGTGCCACTGGTGGAGGAGTTGACAGAGGTACACTCGAAGGGGTCCTTCCTGCGGCTGCATTTTTCTCCATCTGCAATAGAGGTTAATAAGAACTACTTGAGAGAGTGTTTCCTTTATAAATTTAACTACGTGCCCATAAAATTAGATCCTGGCCTGTGCTAAACCATCTCTAATGTATGTTCTGAATGCCTCACTAGCATTTTGCAGCTGAGCAAATATATCAACCTGAAACCAGATTCAGCCAATAATATTTGATAAATGTGCAAGTTCTAAAATACAGACTCCAAAATATTTTAAAAGAGAACATGTTCAATCTTATTATGGGTGGATGTAATATATGGAACTTACCTGAGGATATAACTGTGTAATTCGATAGAGTTCATAGAGACCAATTGTGCAAGTTTGCTTGTCACCAATTTTCTTAAATATTGCTGCCAATTCTTGCTGCAAGATGCAAACCCACCACAAAATTTATTTTGAGGAAGCATGGGTAATACAAGGATAGGACATGGATAAAACTTAAAAGAGCTAAAGACAGCACACGTACCTTTAATTGAGCATCTGCAGAATGTGTTGCAGGTGCTGGACTGTTGGCTGCCGAATCGACCCAGCGATTTTGTCCAGCAGGGCCAGAAGGGGTTAACATTCTTGCAGCTGCCAAGGTCTGCTCAATTTTATTTGGAGATGATTCAGGATGAGAAAAAATGAGTGGTGGAAACATGCGTTTTATCAAGAGTCTGCCACAAATACCTGAAGATTAAGATCAACGTAGGCAAGAATAATGGGCTGCGGTTGCATGTCTATTGGGATCATGGAAAGATGACCCTTTATGGCAGTTCCACAAAGCTTAACAAGCTCGTGCAGAACAGTTTTCACCATGTGAAGTGGTTTGTCATCAGCTCCCGCTGTTTTGTTAATTCAAAAGATGTTGGCAGTGGGCAGTTAAAACATTTAATTAGTACGCATGGTGAAATTAATCAGAAGAGCACTCAACAGGTATTTCATTAAACAAGCAAAATCTTGTCATTTATTTCCGTTCCTAATTCTTGTAGGTACATATGGATACTTTGAAGGATACGATCAAGATCAACATCATATATGGTATTTTGGAGAACCTTTCACATGCAAGTATTGTTAATCAATAATCAATGTACTTTTAGAATATTACTTCAAATGAAAGACGTAACACACTTCTGTAAGATGAGAAATGTGCGAGAAAAGGCAGAAGCCACCAAGTTTCACAAGAAAGGGGAAGAAAAATTTGACGACCAAATCCAAAAATTTCTGAAATCAGAAGAGCACTCAACAGGTATTTCATTAAACAAGCAAAATCTTGTCATTTATTTCCGTTCCTAATTCTTGTAGGTACATATGGATACTTTGAAGGATACGATCAAGATCAACATCATATATGGTATTTTGGAGAACCTTTCACATGCAAGTATTGTTAATCAATAATCAATGTACTTTTAGAATATTACTTCAAATGAAAGACGTAACACACTTCTGTAAGATGAGAAATGTGCGAGAAAAGGCAGAAGCCACCAAGTTTCACAAGAAAGGGGAAGAAAAATTTGACGACCAAATCCAAAAATTTCTGATTTCTCAAGGTTAGATACTCATTCACTGCTGGAGATGGCCACCTTGACGGGTCAATAGGGCGTAAAAGATTTATGAGCACAACAAATGATGAAGTCCGGTCAGCATTATCCTGAATTCAGAATCACCAGTCAGGCAAAGCGGCAAAACATTAGTATCTCCAAATTAAGCACAAGTGTTCACAAACAGAAACACCGAGAGATGAATTTCAGAAAACAAATATACCAGAATTTCAGAAAACAGATATACCAGAATTTTAAGCATCAAAACACTAAGAGCTCTCAAAAGTTGACTCCCATCATCCATCCGAGGAAGCCTTTCATCCAAAAGCCAAAGCAACAGCTCTGTAATTAGACCATCAAGTATACTCTCTTTCACAGCATGAGCGAGTCTCTTGTTCTGAAATGTCTGCAACAGAAAGATTAAAATTTCAACAACTCCATTTATGCAGGTTGATCCGAAAACAGAGGGAGAAAATTGTAGACGATTTTCAGATTATTTAGTTAGTTTGATTGTTCAGTTTGTTATATAGTTAGTTTCCTATTTAAGTGCTTATTTAAATCTGAATAAAGGCTGTTTTATATCCCTGATTTATAGGGATTTATAGCCTTAGTTTTAGGGGATTGTTATTCTTTCTTCTCTATATAAGAGGAGCCTTCTTCGTTGAATAAATGTGAAAGAGCTGATAATTAAAATCAGCCGAATACCTTCATGAATGAATTTCACATTTTTAGTTCACAATCTTTAATATGTTTCAATTCGTGTGTCAGTCCAAGTTTTTTATTCAATATATACGTAACGAAAATTATTGGGAAGGAATCTACAGAAAAATGGACGGATGTACCTGCATGAGAGTGTTGAGAACATATTTACAAGACCTTGAAGAGGCGCCATTCAGACTAAAGTCTAATGTCTTGGCTACCTGAGGCAAACCTTTGCTATGAGCATTTATAAGCATTTCCAACTTAATACAACATTAATGGCCTTTTAAAATGAGGAATTAAAGTAGCAATTGCCTTATTTGCCAGGCAGGAAACAAGTCTATCAGCATCTTTCACAATGTCATCCATTCCACTGCTTTCAGGATCCATGGTCGCCTGAGCCCATTCATGGCACACAACCTTCATTCCTTCAACAGACTGCAGCTAACAATGTTTATCATGATAAACACCCAATAAAGCATTTTTTTTCATTTCTTTGCAAATCTCATAGTTCAAAAACTGAAGTATTACAAGCAAACCTGCTCAGGAGAACCACGTGATATTATATCAAGAGCTTCATTCCAGTCAGCTGGACCAACAGGCGCGGAACATGTTCGTGGCATAGGATGTTTCTCCATCTGAACCTCAGAATGACCAAAATTCTCCCTAGAACTAAAAAAAATAGCAAGCAAACCACACAAATTAGATTAATAATGTACTTCAGCCAGAGTCATCTATGCAGTGTGCGTGCACATATGCACATGGTAAACAGCTTGACGAATAGATTATCCAGTACCTATTGAAGATTGGGCCAGATGTAGATCTTGAAACTTCCCCACTTTGCTCGGCATGATCGAAACTGCATTTCATATAACCAATATCATGGGAGCTCAAAAGGGAAAACCGTTACAAGCAGACAGATTAAGAACCTAGTGACAGGCAACTAATCTAGTCTTCTGCTAGTTCTGTTTTTCCAAATAACAGAATCTATAGTATGATCATAAAAGGCAAATTACTGCTTAAACCACGAACTATAACAAATACACCTCAGTAGAAGAATTGAAAGAAAAAAAGGATCAAACTTGATTGCAGATAGGTACTAGGTAAATGTTGCCAGGGGAGAAAAAGTCTACTAAAAGGAAAGCAAACAGCATGACCCTGCACACATCACTAGTCTGGTCACAAACAATATATATGATGAAAGAGAACATGTCAACATATACAAAACTTTTGTACAGATCATCTTGATTGCAAGAGAACCATCTCCAGTTAGTCAATTTATAATGGCACGGGCAACATGAAAGAAAACATCGCAACTTTTCCTAGAGTCCACAAAACAATGAACAGGTCCAATCAGGAATACCAACATATAGCACGACACCTTGATTCTTTAACATACCCATTATCCCTCACTGACCGCCTTAAAGCAGTCGTAACTTCACTAGGGCGGCCTTCCTTTCTTTTCTCCATCTCACGAGCCTGACAAACAAGATATGCATACATGATTTGGAGTAAAAAGAAAGAAGGCAAAAAACGAAATAGAAGGCACAAGTATGTACTAACCTTCCACTTAAATCTATCATCTAACATACTTCTCTGAGCCTGTGTAAGCTTCCCAACGTATCTCCAAATGTCATCACCTAAAACAAAATTAGATTGTAAAGTTAAATTAAGGTATTAGAATGAGTAATGCCATGTTAATGGTTAAGACTTGATGACGAGTTTATGATGACACGCATTTAAATATTTATTAGAGGTTTATTTCTTACCGCAAATACCCCATACAAATGAAGATTCAAATATCCATAGTTTTCCCTTAATTTTCAGATACCAAGATATTGTAAACATACCACATTAAAAATCTAACGGTGTGTTTGATTGGCTTTATTTTCCATGCAAATGTCTTTTTTCACCCAAGTTCCTACTTTTGGAGTGTTTAATTGACTTTTTTTCATGAAAAATATTTTTCAAAAGTTGGTTACGTGACTATATTTTCCTCAAAAACAAAGAAAATATTTTCTTTAGGGGAGTGTAGATTTTTCTTTTTATAGGCAATTTACTCTCTCTCTCTCTCTCTCTCTCTCATCTACCTACCAATAAAAGATGGATAAATATAATATTTTCTAGGTTGAAAATTAAACTAATCAAACACATTCAATTAACAATTTTCATGCAAATAAGTTCTACACTATTCAATTGCCTAGAACTTATATTCCTTCCATACTTAGTAATCGAACGCAAACTAACTAGAAATGCACCATTTATCTGCAGTAGTCAACATAAAGCTCACCAAGAATCTTATATCCAATAGCCAGAGTATTTAAAGCAGCTTTTCTAGTTTCACCATCTCCCTCAGCTCTCAAGCTAGCGATGATTTGCAAGGATTTTAATTGCCCACTTATCTGCGTAGAAAGAACCAAAAAAAAAAAAAAAAACAAATATGCACCTCTAAACAATAGAAGGAACCAAAACATAAAAATGATGTTCAAAAAGGAAAACTACATGTAATCTGAAATTCACATTTTACCTCAGAACCATGATTATCCAGCAAGAATCCAACAAAATCGGCGCACTCAATTCGAGTTCTATTGTTTCTTGAACGCAAACCCTCTAAAATATAGGGAAAAGTCTTTGCTACACAGTATATGAGGATTATTTGTTTCATCAATTCCCTCATTTTGTCTCGTACTTTTTCGATGTTATGTCCCAACTGCAGCCCAAAAATAATTATAGTTCAAAGAGATACTTTGATGTCACAAAGTGTTAACAATCTCTTTTGGAGATAAATATGAAAAAAGCAACAAGATACAAGAGTCAATATCAGAACTAGCAATCACAAATTAAATAAATTAAATTTAAAACTTGAGTATCAATTAAAGAGCATTGTCTGTATAATTTGCCTCATTTGCAGGCATATGACCAATACAGAAGTAAGAAGGGAACCTCCATAGAAACACCCATGTCTTTAATACCTTCTCGATCAAGCAAGGAAGAAAAATAGATGCCTCTGCTTGACTGCTACAGTCATAGAGTAGCTCTCATTCTTCAACATCTCGAAAAGCTCAGGAAGAAATTCTAGCACCTTATAATGTTTTTGAAGAACATGAATGGAGTTATTTCTAAGTGAAACAGCAAAAACAATTCAAGTAATTACTTCATTCATCTCACAACATCATACCAGTCATGTTTTATGTTAATTTACTGGATTAATAAAAATTTCATTTGCAAAAATATTCCTAGCTCTATACCTTTAATAGACACGATGCATTGGATTCACAGAATCTCGAAACAAACCACTTCAAGAGAATGTCTAAAACTTCAATTATTTCCTTTCCAATAGATGGAAGAGCCTGAAAGATATAAAAAAGGAAAAATTAAGAAAGCCCACCGAATATCCATATTCAGAATAATATGCGCTTGATAGTGAAAGTACCTTCTGCAGAATCTCAATCCCATCAACTTGCTTCTTGAAGTCAGTGTTTAACAACCTCCAATACAAATCTTCTCTAAAATACTTCGCAATGTCATTCTGTGGCAAATACAAATGACACATTTACAGCACATTTCATGAGAAAAGAATAACTAGAATTTGATACATCTCAAAAGAAAATAATGTCTGCATTCATCATGTTTCCATGAACCAATTTCATCATATCCTAAAATTACAAGAGTGCCTATCATAAGATAGTTTTCTTGTGTTAAATTTATCGATAGCCACCCAACTTTATACTTGGTATCACTATAGCTAGGGTTAGGCAAATCCCCTGAACCGAACCCGACGGTTCTTGTCAAATTAAATATCCGAACGGGTATCTAAATTGATAATCGACAGGTACGGTTCGGTTCTAAACCAAGAACCGAATCTTTCTAATTTTTTTTATATTGAATAAATCAAATTATTTTAATTTTAATTTTCTAAACAAATTAACAATTTCTAAATCCAAATTTTTGGCCCAATAATTTGTTTCATTTCTAATTTTTTGCCAAATTACCCATTTTATTGTTTCATTTTTTAGCCCAACAAGATCCAACCCACTAAATAACCCTAAATACCTACACTAAAGTGCATAACGATGTCTCGACTCTCGCAATCTCGCTGACATTCCAAAACCTATATGAACGCCGGTCGACGCTGTGACCTCCGATCGAATCTATGACCTCCGCCGATCGAAACTTTGACCATAGCGATCATTTGAACAGGGTAATTTACTAGTCTCTGACATTCCAAAACCATTGAATGTGTCATTAGTTGTATTTATATAATGTTGTTATAAATGTTAAAAAATTTAATTATAGTACGGAATCGAACCGAACTGAACCCGAACGGTTCTATAATTATATTTGGACCCGATAGTTCCATTTACTAGATACACGAAAAATTTGGTTTGATTCGATTATAAAGAGAATCGAACCGAACCGACCCTCGCCCACCTCCTACCATAGCCACTCAATTTTATTTTGTTTCACCATGGCCACCCAACTTTATAATTAATGTCAAAATAGCCACCTAATTTCATATAACGTTTCATCATAGCCACCCAACTTTTTTTCACCATTTTCACTAATTTTAAAAGGGGTAATATAGTAACTTTGTATTATATTATATATAAAAAATAAATTTAAAAAAAATAAAATTAAAATAAAAACTTATTTTAAAAAAATAAAATTAAAAACTTATTTTAAAAAATTTTACTTGTAAAAATAAAATAAAAACTCATTAAAAAAAGTTTTTAAAATAAAATAAAAACCATATTTTTAAAAAAAAAGTTACTCAAAAAAATAATATAAAATAAAAAGTTATTTTAAAAAAAAAAATTTCATTACATTACATTCTATTTTTCTCTCTCTTAATTTCAATCACACAATCTTCCATAAAATAATATTACAAGTAAATCGAACAATTTTCCTTCTTTTTTAACCACTCATTTTTAAAAAAAATACTATTCCTCCCATTTTCATTTTCAAGTAATGGGAGTCAAACAGAGGCTAAATATAAAATTGGGTGCCCATTGGTGGATTTAGCCTTTTTTTCTCTTCCTAAGAACTATCTTTATAATGCAATTTGTTAGCAAGTCATAATATCTATGTAAAACTAAAACACATCAAAAGTCAAACCAAGTAGCAGTGCACAATGGAATGGAATAGCAGCAATATCATCCATTATTCCGAAAGGGCAATAATAGCGTCAAATGCAACTTATGGCAAAATGAGATAAACTTATTTTTATTTATTTATTATTTATTTTTTTATTTTTATTTTTTTGAGATTAAAATGTATAGTCAAAGTTATGTGTTACAAGAATTAATAGATATAAATTTAGATTTAAGCATAGAGTATATATGGTCCTGATTTATGATATTCTCTTCTACTACACTATCGATGAGTGAGGACCCAAATAAGTTAAGAACCTAAACAATGAATCAAAATTCTTCAATTATCAGAGAATCAATTTAAGAAATTGAAAGAGTCCAAATAATGACTGGAAGATCAATAAAACATCATTCAACTAACACCCAATTAAAATTCAAACCTCAAGATCTTGTATTTGTTCCAATCGTAACTCTTCAAACTTGAATCTGCGAACAATTATTCTCTCTCTATCATCCTGTGCAAATAAAATCAGGTGATCGATTCTCAGGTATACATAAGACGGTACTTTATGTTGTGCATGCTACATATATAACATGATATGTACCTTATTTGAATCCTTGACATTTAGCAAAGCTTGCGACTGTATGTTGATTTCTTGAACAGACATAATCGTATCTTGCCTAGAGCCCTTTGAAGGAGTAGTTCTCTAAACAGAAATAATTTCAATCAATATTCATGTTATACTTCCAACCAAGCAATTCAACTAAATGAAAACATACTGATGGTGCAACTCTTCTTCCAGGCCGTGATCCATGATCACCATGACCATTAGGTTTTCCAATCTTTGAGTTGCTTTTGGATGTGAGACCTGTTGAAACTGTTCTTCCCAATTCAAATTTTTCTATGAGCCAACAAGCAGCATTAGCAATAAAAAAGAAGTATGTAGATCAAAGAAAAGGAGAGAGAAGGGGCAATATACCTTGAAAGGTTCCATGTTGTTTAAGTCGTTCGACAACAATAGCTAAAGCAGGTCCTTGAATAACTTTCAAATTTTTGGTCACTGATGAGTGTAATTCACTCGTTAAACATACGTCTCCAAATCACGGGTTTTAGCTTATTCTTGAGCACTTTTGAACGTTTTGATGTGTGTGTTCGTGTTGTCTTGCAGGTAAATCAACATTCAAGAAAACACCATAATTGGGAGCTTGTGATGGATCTAAATGGTGGTCATAAAGTGGGGGCATAAATTAGAGATAAGAAAAGAAGATTGCAATGAAAAAGAAGCTTAGAAGCTGAATGATTCAAGCAAGGAGTAGCTTGTTAGGTGCCACGGCATCTACATTGGGCGCCAAAAGGAGAAAGTCAGCAGGAAGCTGGGCGCCACGGTGCCAGCCTTGGGCGCCATGGTGCCCAACGTGAAAACAAGAAGCAGAACAGCTGGCGCCGTGGCGCCAGAACCCAATCACAACGTGGTGCTGCGGCCCCAGACATGGGCGCCACGGCACCGAACCTCGCAACGCCAAAAAGCCCAAATTTTTGGATATTTCTCGACCCAAGATATTTCCTAATCACCCAAAATTCGAAGATAACATAAATACCAAGAAAAAAACCTAAGGGAGGCCGTTCTTTTTTGGTATTCTCTCTGGGCAAAAAGGGTGCAAAAATTAAAGATCCATTCAAGAGGCAAGAAAAAAAATTGAATTGCATCAAGATTGACGAACAATTGGGGAAGAACTAGCGGCTTCAATCAGTTTTTCTAAACCCTTATTTACTATTTCTCATATTCTTTATCTTGTATTTTGGCATGTCGATCGATTCAATCATAAACCAAATTCTTAGATCTAGGGTTGATGTAACCTATTTGAGACATGATTTGATTTTAATATAGTTATTTCTTTCAATTTTTCCATGATTTATTTGTGTTGTTTTGTGCTTAATGCTTTCAATTGTCTGATCACCAATTGAATGAATCGATGTCTTAAATTTAATGCTCGAGAAAGAGGGAAATTTAGATATGATCTGGAACAACATAACCTAGATTTGTAGGTTTCGAGAGAGATCAAATCTTTGAGGGGTATAAACAAGAACCAAGAGCTTTAACAATCTTTATATATTTAATTCGGAATAGAGATATTGGTTAAAATATAACGATAGATTCTATTGGCACTCAAGAGAGGGAATAGAGTTAAATTAGGATTCTTGCATATAAATTGGGAAAAATTCGGTGGAAATGGCTATAGAGATTGAGAGCATGTTGATAATATGGTGAAATCAATCCGTAGTCTCCATAGTTTGATTTGATTTTTAGAAATTGTCTCACTTTACTTGCATTCTTTATTCCATTTAAATTAGATTAGCATAAAAACATCATTCAAACATTGGATTTGTCTAAATAAAGTGAAAATCGAAACAATTATAATACTCAGTGGAATTTGAATATCAATCCCTGTGGGTTCGACACTTTTAAATTCTTCACTATATTACAAAACTTGACACCGTATACTTGCGGTTATATCACGTTATATAAAACGCGTGGCAAGTTTTTGGCGCCGTTGCTGGGGATTGATTCATTCGATTTCAATTGATATTATTACCAATCGGCGTTCATTTTAATTTAGATTTTTATTTTGATCGTAATTTTTTTTTTTTTTTTATTTTGTGTCTATCTCTAATAGATTCGTTGTGTTTATTTCCAACTGTTTATGCGAAGAGCAAGAAATCTGAACCTACTACCTGTTGATCCTGAACCAGAATGCACATTTCGCATTTTAAGAGGCATACAAAGAAACGAACGGGAAGCAATGGCGGAACAGGAAGCAAGAGCGGCTAATGAGGATAACCAACATAGAGCTATTTGGGACTACATAAGGCCTGTTGTCAATGACAATTATTCCGGCATCGTATGCCCAACAATTGCTACAAACAACTTCGAATTGAAGCCAAGGCTGATACATATGGTGCAGTAGAATCAGTTTGGGGGTGCTGCAACAAAAGAACCAAATTCTCATCTTGGATCCTTTTTGGAAATTTGTGACATGATGAAGATGAATGGGGTCACTGAAGATGCAATTAGACTTCGCCTATTCTCTTTCTCTTTGAGGGATAAAGCAAAGGTTTGGTTCCAGTCACTACCGTATGGCTCAATTACAACTTGGGATGATTTGGCTCAGAAATTCCTCACCGAGTACTTTCCACCTTCTAAATCAACTCAATTTCGCAGTGAGATTAGCCAATTCAAACAACTCGACTTCGAGCCATTCTATGAAGCATGGGAAAGATTTAAAGACTTGCTTAGGAGATGTCCTCAACATGGGTTCCAAAAATGGGTGCAAATTGAGATATTTTACAATGGGCAGACAAGGACTATGGTAGATGCAGCTGCGAGAGGCATTTTAATGGCTAAAACAGTAGATGCTGCCTATGCTTTATTGGATGACATAGCCACTAACAGTTACCAATGGCCAAGTGAGAGATCGAGCGTAAAGAAAGTAGCCGGACTTCATGAAGTGGATCCCGTCACAGTACTAATAGCTCAGGTTACATCACTCACAAATCAGATAGTCACGCTTACTACTCAAGGAATCAATAGAAGGTAGATTCAGTCATGAGTACTTCTTCATCACACCAAGAGACAGAGGTTACAAACAAGCAGGCCCAATATGTCAACAGTAGAAACTACAATCAAAGAAGAAGCTACCAAGCTAATCACTATCATCCAGGGCTGAGGAATCACGAGAACTTGTCATATGGCAACAATAAAAACACACTTCAACTTCCACCCGAATTCAACACTCAGAATTCTGAAGGGAAACCATCCTTGGAAGACATCATTAGGACATTCATTTTTGAGATAAGATCACGCTTCAACAAAGATAAATCATGGTTGGATAATATTGAAACACATGTGTCCAACATGGGAGCCACAATGAAGAATCTTAAAGTGCAAATTGGTCAGTTGGCTACCTCAATGAAGTCTCAGCAACAAGAAAAATTTCCAAGTGATACAGAAGTCAACCCAAAGGAGCACTGTAAGGCCATTGTATTAAGGAGTGGCAAGCAAGTTGGAGAAAGTTAACCCACTGAAGATAGCAATCCCACACCTGACAAAGAGAAAGAACAAGTAGTAGAAGAGCAAGAAAAGTGGGCCAAAGGAACAAATAAGGCTCACAGACCTTACTCCATATCCTTCTCTGACAACCCACCAATTCTCACACCACCACTCCCATTTCCACAGCGTTTTCAAAAGAAAAAATTTGATGATCAATTTGCAAAATTTTCAAGAAAATTCACATTAATATTCCTTTTGCTTATGCTTTGGAACAAATGCCAAATTACGCGAAGTTTATGAAGAAGGTGATGTCAAAGAAGCGAAAATTGGAGGAATGTGAAACAGTAAAATTAACAAAAGAATGCAGCGCTATTCTTCAAAAGAAACTTCCTCAGAAGAGAAAAGATCCGGGCAATTTCACTATTCCATGCACCATTGGAAGCTCTTCCTTTGAAAAGGCCCTCTGTAATCTAGGAGCAAGCATCAACCTAATGCCATTATCAGTATTCAAGAAGTTAGGTCTTGGGGAAGTCAAGCCAACAACAGTGACTCTACAACTGGCTGATAGGTCCCTCACTTACCCACGAGGTATTATTGAAGACGTGTTAGTAAAGGTCGACAAATTCATCTTCCCAGCTGATTTTATGGTATTGGATATGGAAGAAGATCAGGAAATCCCACTGATTTTAGGCAGACCATTTTTAGCAACTGGAAGAGCATTAATTGATGTGCAAGGAGGACATTTGACATTGAGAGTGAATCAAGAAGAGGTGAGGTTCAACATCTACCAAGTAATGAAGTACTCGGACGACACTGACACATGCTACGGGATTGACTTCATTGATTCTGCTGTGAGCGAGAGAAATTATATATTGAGGATCCTTTGGAGTAGTGTATGATGTTTAGTTCAACAAAGGATGACACCAGCTCTTTTGGAGAATATGCAGGGAGCAAAGACCTGATTGATTGCATATTGGCTCTAGAGTCTACAGCAGTTGAAAACAACTTATCATAGTGTGAAGATATTCAGAAATCAGAGGAATCAAATGATAAAGAAAGCAGCAAAAGCAGCAAGATTGAACTGAAGCAATTCTCAGATCACCTCCACTATGCATTTCTGAGGGACAATTCTGCATTTCTTGTGATCATTTCTTCATCACTCACCAAGGACGAAGAGGACATATTATTAAAAGTGTTGAGGGATCACAAGGCCGCTTTGGGTTGGTCGATAGCTGACGTCAAGGGGATAAGTCCTACAATCTGCATGCATAAAATCCTCATGAAAGAGTCCTACAAGCCATCCATTGAACATCAGAGAAGATTAAACCCAGCAATGAAAGAAGTGATTCGAGCTGAGACACTAAATCTATTGAAGGCAGGGATCATACTCACCATTTCAGACAGTGAATGGGTCAGCCCAATGCAGGTGGTACCAAAGAAAGGAGGGATGACAGTAGTTAAGAATGACAACGATGAGCTAATTCCAACTAGAATAGTAACTGGCAGGAGGGTGTGCATTGACTATAGGAAGCTGAACAAGGCAACTAGAAAAGATTATTTTCCACTCCCTTTCATTGATCAAATGTTGGACAGATTAGCGGGTTACTCTTACTATTGTTTTCTTGACGGGTATTCGGGCTACAATCAAATT